GCCCTGTATTATATAGGTGCCAGTATCGTGCAGGTTCGCGTTTGCGCAGATGCCTGTGTTGCACAGCTGTACCCAGTATGACACAGGTGCCAATACTGCACAGGTGTTCAGTATTTTTCAGATGCCAGTGCTGCTCAGGAGCTGGTGTTTCCCAGGTACCCAGTATTATACAGGAGCCAGCATTGCATAGGTGCCAGTATTGCCCAGATGCTGGGATTGTACCGGTGCCAGTACTGCCCAGGAGGCCAATATTGCACAGGTGTCCAGTGTTCTGCAGGCAGCCAGGGTTGCGCAGGTGCCTCGCACAGGTGCTAGGATCGCACAGATGGCCAGTACTTACATGCGGAGCCTGCTCCCTGGAGTCTCCAGGACCCATTTCTTCTTCTCTTAGGAAGACTAGAAAGTTAGATGTAGGTCCCGTACTGGTTCCTTGTCTAGAACACTCCTGGGTGTTTTGCCTGACTTCAAGCACAGCCTTTTTCTGTCTCATGTTCCCGCACAGGCCAGGATGGCATTCTGGCCTGACAAGGGTGTCAGAGCTGAGCAAAGCAGTGAAGGCAGGATCGCCTGTGTTCTCTGCCGTCCTGCTCCTGTCCCACCCTGTATCCCACTGATGCCTTGGTGCCCCTTTCGGTTCTCCCATCTGCAGACAGAGAAGGTAGGGCTTGGACCTCACTGCTCCTCTGCATGCTCCCAGCCTGGAGGGCTGTGTGTGGCAGAGAGCTTTGCAGTACTCATCCCGAAGAAGAAAACTTGAACTGTGGAATTTCTGACTGACTTGGGGTGAAAGTTTGGGCATCTCGGATGCCAGTTAGGGCAGGCTTTATCTTTCTGAGGTAGCCCTTCTGAATCCTTTGTTTTCGTTTCCCCTCTGAAATTCTAGCCAGGTATCTTTTGTCCCAGAGGAGCTGCGGATGTGTCTACATGATCAGGAAGAACTCTATGGTTACAGGCTAACTTGCTCACTTGAAAGCAGGGCAAAGTCTCAGGCCCTTCACAAGTCTTGGCAAGATTCTGTCCTTATTAAAATGCATATTCAAAATACCCTAAAGGTCAAATACGTTGGTCTTTATGTTGTGGATAAGAAGACTGCGTGTGGAGGAGTTAGGTACCTCTTCCTAGGTCGCAGAGCTAGTTAGTGCTGGAAGCGAGACTTTTGCCCAGCTCTGTCTGATGCCGGACCAGACCACTGCCTTTCCGTAACATCACGCTGACGTGGCACACTGCAAACATTAATGCCTGCAGCTCTCCTTGTGGCACTGGGCCAGGTAAAATCCTTTTGGCCCTTGAGTCATCCCCCTTGCTATGATAATGAAAACGTTCAGGCAAAGAACGGAAAACAATTGAGCGGCCTCTCCTTTAAGGAGCATAAACAGATAAAATTGTGAGGCATTCCTTCCATTAAAAGAAGAAAAAGTTCTCTAACATTTACATAACAGTTGGCTCTACGCCCTGACCCACTGCCCCTTCTCTGGTGAATGGGTGAGATCTTCCTCTCCCCAGGCAGATGCGTAGAGTCACGTGACACCCAGACCAAACTACAGGGTGGCGGGAGCAGCGGGCAAGCTGGCAGGGGAGGTCTTCAGCTCTGGGAGCCTTTCCAAGCCCCCTTGTAAATTTCCATGCATTTGCATCTTGTGTCCTGTTTAATTTGATCCTTGGCCCACCCTTGTGGCACAGACTGACCTACTCCTTCCGTGGCTCGCTACTGCCCACATGACGGAGTCCAGATTCCTTAGCTTGGGGCCAGGGATGCTCTGGGGCCTAGGCCCCATCTGCTGTGCAGCTGCTCCAAGCCTTCCACCCTCTCTGAAGGTTTTCCTGGCCCACCAGGGAGAAATGGTCCCGCCCTTCTTAGTGTTCCAAACTGATCTGCATCTCTTCTCTCTCAGCCCTGTAACATTTTAGGGCTTGTGTACATTTACACGTTTATCTTCTCTGCTAAGCCAGGACCCCTTAAGGCAGAAGCTGCCACACTCAACGATGTAAGTCCAACACTTACATGGATACCGAATAAATGTTTGTGGATGGCAGCTGTATACTCAGACAGACACACGTATGGATTATCTGTCTCTAAGTCTGAAGTTTCATCGCTTAAATACTCCTAGTTTGGGAATGGAACGAACACTTGTAAGAAGCACAAATCATCCAAGAAGAGCTGACAGGGATGCTTTGGCATGATGCAGTTCAGCCGATTACCTTCCCTTTCTTTCGTAAGAGTGGTGCTTGAGGTGCGGGGTGCTGCGGCCGAGCTTGCTGCACTTGCTGTCTTTGCCTTCCTACTCATCCCGCCGGGGCCGGCAGCCTCCACTGGGGTCTCCTCCCACCGCTTGTCCCAGGCCAGCTCCCAGCAGGTACAGGGATGGTGGCACGGGTGCCGGGCCATCACTGGTGAGTCACCCCAGCATCCGTGAGTCCTGGTGCCTCAACTGCTGAAGGGAAGAGGGTCCGTTTTAAGCCCCCTGGCCAGTCAGGCCTGGGGTCAATCCCTCCTCTGCCATTTGGAGCTGTGAGACCTCCAGCAAAGCCTTCAGCCTTCCTGAGCCTCAGTTTCTACAGAGCTAAAGCGGGGATGAGGGTACCCACCTCACACAGTTACTGGGAGGACTACAGGAGGCTCATGTGCAAAGCCAGGATGTCCTACAGAGTGCGGTCTGCCGCCTTCCTCTCCCCACCGCTCCTCTAATCTCCCCTCTCTTCCTTTCCTTTCCTTGTCCCTCCTTCCTCCTTAACAGTTTCCGGAAACTTTGGTGCTTTGCATGTTTACTGCGACCAAGCTTTGTTGCAGGCATGCTGCAGGATGATGTTGGTGCGCGGTTGTGGGAGAGCTCAAGATGAAGAAGCCGACCCCTGACCTGAGGGAGGATGCCTTTTTGCCCACTGGTGTGCACTGGATGTGTGTATGCACATCTCTTTAAGGTGCTCTACTCTTTGATGTGGCCATCTGGCCTCTGCAGTTAGCCTGTGACCGCTCTCTGCTCTGTGTCATCTGCACTGGGCCACCTTGGACGACTCAGCCCTGCAGTTTCCGTGTCGCCCTGCTGCTGAGCCTGGTTCTGGCTGGGCCTGGGGAGAAGGCTGTGGCCCAATAGTGTCCCGGGACCTTGGGCAGGCAAAAGAGTGAGGACGAGCAGAGGTGAGGAAGGGGAGGTGAGCGGAGTGGCCAGGCAGCCGAGCTTTAGCGTGGACAGCCCCTGGGCTACCTGAGGGAGAGACAGTGACCAGCATCCTCTCTTCACACAGGCCCCAGCCCTCGGGGAGGCCTAGGGAGCTTGGGGTCATCCTCTCCCTGGAGCCCTGTCCACACCAACGCAAGTCTATGTGCGGGTTTTGGGTGCTGTTCTGCTCCCCCTGGACAGCCATGTGTGCTCACACCCCTTGAAGACAAGGCTGTGGCCATCGCCCTTTATTTTATGTGAGGGCCAGCTCTGGTCGCCCAGGGAGAGGTGTCGCCTTTGAACCGGGTTCCTGCCATCACCAGCTTCTGCGAGCTCCCTGCTCACAGACAGCCCCAGGACCTCCAGTTCCTTTGGTTGGTGGCCACTCCACTCAGCCTGGACCCCCGTATCCTCCTGGGAGAGTGAGGGGGCCTTTCTGCTGACTCCCAGGGGAAGACGGTGCAGCCTCAAGAACCTGAGCCCAGGGAGTTCCTGCGGCGACCGTGGCACCTGGGACGCAGTCTTCGACCCCACAGCTGCTGGTGTCCGAGTGGCTGCTGGGCTGCTGGGAGTCTCAGCGTCACGGGGGAGTGATGCCTGACGAGTTCATGGTCTTTCTCTGTTATTCATTTGGAATTATGGTTTCTTCTCAGGAGCGTTTCGAAGTGGTGTGATGAGGAATGATCGTTAATGACGACACACTGTCCCGGTCACTGACACTGGAAGACCCCGGACGCTGAGCCCTTGGCACATTCGTTCCTAACCTTCAACGCCGGAAGTTGGGCACCTCAGAGGTGGCATTATTAGCGTACTTTCCATATGAGGGATGAGAACCTGGAGGCCAGAGAGCTAAGCAAGTGGCCCAAGGTCCTGGGACCAGGAAAGAGCAGCCGGGACCCAGCCCCAGGGAGTGTGCTCTGCGGTCTCCACTCCCACCGCTGGGTGTGAGGCCGCTCTTCAGTAATGGGGGGCAAGGCGAAAACTGTGGTAAGGGCCTCGCTAAAAATGATGCACAGGTCTAGCTAAAAATAATGATAATAATTAGTAACTGTCCCCCTGTAACTGCCACTCCCGAGCCACACAGCTGGTGTCCATAAAGATTCTTAACTTTCTCCGTAGATTACATCACCTTTTCGAAACCTAAAGGTCGTTCTCAAGCTGTCTTCCGGCCCTGTAGTCCACCAGCGGCCCAGACCTAGACACTGACTCAGCCGGAATTGTGAGCCCAGGGACTGGCGCGACACAGGAAGATGATTTCCACACCCCTATAATTCTGCCCCAATTAACGAACCTAATTTCCCAATCCCCCGCCTGCTAAACTGTCCTTAAAAACCCTGTCTCCCAAGTTCTCGGGTGGCGGGTTTGAGAAGTGCCTGCCGTCTCCCGCCTGGCGCTGTGCTGCGTGAGGACTCGGCCGGGGGCTGCGGGCAGATGGTCGGGCGGCAACAGGTGCGGTCACCGCGGTTATTGTGGGAAGGACGGGGCTCACTCACATTGTTCATCAGGTCTGCTTTGTCTAACACTGTGCGTTAGAAAATTAGCCAGTGCGCTGCCCAGAGACGATCTCTTTCTAGAGGGACATTTCACCCGCCCGTTTCTTTCCTGCAGCGGGCGCCGTGTGGGGAAGGAATGCTGGTCACGCCCCACCCCGCCCCAGGCAGGTCCAGGGCCATCCGCACCGTCTGTGCTCTCTGGGAACTGGCCCACGGGAGCCGGAATGGACCGTTCCGGCCCCACACACGCGGACTCCGCAGGGAACGCGGAATCACACGGGCAAGAAGCAAGCCCCAGTGCCGTTTATCTTCCCCCAGACGCCTACAGTAACGTCGGACTCTGAATGCTGTTACATTTCAAATTTATTTCCAATCGTTTCGAGCTGGATCAATGGGAGACAAAGGCACCTTTTAGCTGTGGCACCTGCTGTTTCCCCCAAATGTCAAGGACTGACATTTGATGCTGTTATCCCCAGGCGGTGCACTGGTGACGCATTTCCTTGCTTCCCCGGCCCCCAGGCCCACGCCCCGCTCACCCTCAGCAAGGACCTTCACGCCAACGAGATGACGTCTTGGCCTGCCCAGGGACCCGTGTGCCCAGACTTTCTCCCTCTTTGGCAGAAAAAAGGCTGGCCTCTCGGGGTGGCCGCTGCCTCCCTGTGTCCCTGGGAGACGCCTCACATAGCTGGAGCCCCTGCTTTCCTCCCTGGGTGGGCACCCAGCCCTCTGAGGTGCCTATCTCGGGAAGAGGCGGCTGCTCTTGCAGTCTGCACGGTGGTCCCAGTAGTGCTGGTGGACGGTGGGGTGCATTTTCCATGATGGGGCTTGAGGAGGCACTTGGGGAATGAGGTCGGGTACCCCTCAGATAAAGTACTCCTTTCTGCTGCCGCCACCAGCATCCTGGAGGGCAGGGTCGTCCTGCAGGGCCGCGTCTGCGCTCTCAGCAAACTCCGTGCCCTTGGCCTCATTGGTGTGGTACGTGCCCTTGTGCCGACACATGTAGCGTAGCATGACAAGGAGGAGGCAGACCAGGACGAGGGCCACAGCAGCAATCACGCCTGCAGGTGGGAAGAAATGCATGGGTCAGTGTGGAGCAGGGGCCCTGGGCCCTGGGACAAGGGACAGGGTGTGTCAGGAAAGACATGCTGCTGTAACAACCATAGGCACTCCTCGCTGTAAGGTGGGGTCTCAGCCCTATAAACCTGTCATAAGCTGAAAGCATCATAGGTCAAACGTGCATTAATACACTTGGCCTACTGAACATCTAAGCTCAGCCTCAGCCACCTTCTTCTGACTCAGAACACTTACACGGGCTGACAGCTGGGCAAAATCATCTAACACAAAGCTTATTATATATTAAAAATAAAGTGTATTCATCCTGCACATTGCTAGCCTGGGAAAAGATCAAAATTCAAAACTCAAAGTATTGTTTATACTGAATGTGTTTACTTTTGCACCATTGTAAAGTTGAAAACCCAAAAACTCGGTTAAGTGAAACCATTGTAAGTTGGAGATCATCTGTACCAACAGCAGGTCCCTTTGTATGCGTCCCCCGCCTGGTGTGCTGGCTTCTCATCTCTGCCCACCGCAAAGGCTCCTTCTCTCCCCTTCTCTCTTCTCTCACCCGCTTCCTTCCTTTCCTTCCCACCCACTCCACTGAGCACTCTGCAGGCAGGCTGGGTGGAATCCCAGGGTGGAACCCTGCTTGGAGGTGCTCACAGTCTATTGAGGAAGAGAGACTTACGGGGTGTCGCTGCAGGACATGCATGATTTGCATAAGGGAAGTGTGTGCGTTTGCCTGAAACCGTGGGGTCCACGGGATGCAGAGCTTCACCTTTTAAAGCAGCACGATTCCCACCGAAGGGCTCTGGGAACGTGGGACTTCCCATGCTAACACCAGGAAAGTCTTGGAAAACTGGGAAGAGCTGGTTGCCCTCCATGCACCATACAGGTGAGGGCTGTTAGCTGCACTTGGGGACAGGTGGTATGAGGTGTGGTCTGTGTTTTCCCTAGGAAGTGAGGACTGCCACGAATCTGCAGGGGGAGCGGGACGTGGCCAGGCAAAGGACTGAGAGGGAGGGTCCTGCTGAGGACGCTGTGCCGAGGCGGAAGTGTGGTGGGGGGACCGTCCTTTACCTCCGCCCAGACTCAGGAGGCGTCAGGCCAGCCAGGGCCTTGGGAGTGGCAGGGTGAGGGGTCAGGGGGCTGAAGGGCCTCAGTCCCACTGGGGGTGTTGCGAGTCTGGGCACTGATTTGAAGCTGCAGAACAAGCCTCTGTCTTTCCTTAGAATGCAGGTTGGCGTGGGGGCCCTTGGGGAGAACATGGACAGGCTAAGGCTGCTCCTAAGTCCCACTTTACGGAACAGTTTCCTGAACTTCCTGCTGCCTTCAGGGGAGCGCTTGTGTCTGCACAGTGCCCGTAATGTGTCTCAGAAGAACGGCTCAGCGGTCGGCGAGTTGGAGGATGCCGGTTGCCCAGGATCCAACAAGTGTCTTTGCTGCTTTTTCCTTCTTTTTAATTGTAGAAGTTCCCTGAACTATTAATAAGCTAGTGGGAAGTGTGGATCTCAAAGAAGCACACAGAGCATGTGACACTGCCCAAACTTGATTGTTCCTGAAATACAATCTGGAGTCACAGTCATGACCCGGGGGAGCCACCTGCCCGGGGCTCACAGCAAGGCGCGGGCAGGGTCCAACTCCCTGAGGACGGAGGGCGGGGCGTGGGACGCAGGGCAGGCCACAGGCGGGGTGAGGGGACGGGGGAGAAGACCAGGCAGCCCGGCCAGTCCACCCACCCACGCGCCTCCACCTTCAAACCTCCCTGTCCAGAGCCACTCTCTGCACCCTGAGAGGGGGCGCCCGCCATCACCCCGGCTCCGCCTGCTCCACCAGGACTCTGCTGGATTTTCTTAACCAGGGCTGGACTTCCCATTCCACGTTCGAAACCAACTATGAGGGAGGGAAAATGCTGACCATGGCTGTCTCCACCCAAATCCTCAGACCAGTTCTCCCCTGGGCATTTCTTCTGAGACTCTGGGCTGCATGAAGGGCCCTGAGATGACAGCTCACCTGCGATGACGGCGATGTCCATGATGGTGGAGGGTATCCCCTGGCCAGGCTCTGTGAATGGAAGAGAAGAGTCGGAGGTGAGACAGGAAGGCTCTCCACGCCTGGCAGCACCGTGGCTGCAGCTGCATCCTCAGCTCATGTGTGAGCGGCTCTGACAGGCCAGGTGGGCAGCAGCAGGGTGCAGCCCCAGACCCAGGCCCAGGCCCAAGAGCAGCAGGCTGTAGAGTGCTGTGCCCACCACCAGGTCACCGTCGGCCTGCGTGAGCTCCCTCCTGTGTCCCTGCACTGAGGCTGGGCCTGCGTCTGTGGTGTGTGCGAGGGCAGGCATGGCCGTGGTGTCTAACACAGACCATCTGTGAGTGTCTGCTCACACCGGTGTCATAGACTGTTTTGTGTTGCTAGAATGCCTGATGCCGGGTAATGTACAAAGAAAAGAGGTTTATTTGGCTCACGATTCTGGTGGCTGGGAAGTCCGAGACTGGGCAGCTGCATCTGGCTAGGGCTTCGTGCTGCCTCCACTCGTGGTGGGGAGTGGGAGGGAGCAGACGTGTGCAAAGAGATCACACGTGTGAAAGGGAGCAAGAGAGAGTCTCGGGAGCCAACGAACTTTCGCAGCAACCTGCCCTGCGGCAACTAACCCAGTCCCGCGAGCGCAAGAAGGACTCACTCAGTCCTTCCCTCGGAAGGGCATTAGTCTATGAGTTAGGGAGCCGTCTCCATGACCCAGACGCCTCCCACTGGGCCCCATCTCCCAGCGCTGCCACACTGGGAATCTAATTTCCACATGAGTTCTAGTGGGGACAGACCGCAGCACCAGGTGTTGTTTTGGTTGCCCTTAATCCACTATATCTGGAGGTCTCACAGCAGTCCCGTGAGGTGCCTGGCACTATTATTCCATTCCACAGGTAGAACACTGAGGCTCAGGGACGCGACGTGTCCACAGCCTCACAGGACTTACCAGTACTCTTGCTTCTGGGGTGTACCTTCTCTCCTTCTCTCTTGAAGAAGCCCCTCCTAGGGCCCCTGTCCAGGGATCCCTCCCTGAGGCCCCTCCGCGGGTCCCTGTGTTGACTCTCCTGTGGGAAGGACGGCTCTCTGGTGCCATCCAAATTACTGAGTGTGTTTTCCAAAGTTCAATGGTCTGGCCAGAGTGCTAGGATCTCTGGAAGAGTGGGAACCTGAATGCTTCTGCGAGCTGCTGCACAGAATGTCTCCTCTCCTCCGGGAGATGAGTGAGAGGATCTGTTAGACACCGGGAAGTAGCAGCGCTAACATGGAAATCCTGTGTTTCCATTATGAGCGCTATGCATAATGAAACGAGAAGGATGCTTCATACTAGCCGTTTCTGCTCAGATAATCACTTTAATTGTAGGGCTTGTAGATCATTCTCCTCAGCAAAGCTGCCAGATGCCTCTTTGTCGTAAGGGATAGCAGGTAGGGGAGAAACAGACCTCAGGCTGGGGCCAGATCAGGGACACTCCAGGAGTCAGGGCAAGGCGGGAGCCAGGCAGAGACGGGGCTCAGCGTTCAAAGTGCTTCTCCGTGGCAAGACCTGAAGCAGGAGGTGCAGCAAGTTTAAGCGGATGCTGGACTCTGCGATCCTGTGTGAGCAGCTGCAGCCTGCGATTTAGTACCCAGCACAGAGTAGGTGCTCAGTAAATAGTCACTGCGTGCAGGACTAAACACATGCACACATGAAGGAATGGATTTAGAGGTGGAGTTCTAGATCTTTCCAATCACTATGCACCTCACAGTTCAGTAAGAAAGAACAGCACCTTGCTTAGGTTGGCAGTGATGGTGGAGAAACTCGAATACTCGGAATTGCCCTTAGGAATTTCCAGGTGAAAACCAGCATCTCTTACCTCAGTCTGTCCAGTGCAGCCAAGGTTAGAGGGGACTGTTACTCCCTCTTCCTTTTAAACAATTAGCAATTGCTTACCAGATGCTGGTACCATTCTCAGCATTTACCACATTTTAAGTAACTTAGTGCCCACCACAGTCCCATTCAGTAGGAGTTATTATTGTCACCATTTCACAGATTTGGAAGCCGAATCCCAGAAAGGTGTTACTGTTTTCCCTGGCTCATGCAGCCGCTATGAGTCAGGAGTCACCCAGTTCAAGCCCAAAGAGCTCTGAGTCAGCGAGTTTACCCCTGCAGGGCACTGCCCAGTGGGAGCCTTGGTGAGCTGATTTCCAGATGAGGTATTTGTCTTGAATCACTTGGGATGCATTTCTTGGCTTATGTTTAGGGACCTTGTACCCAAATCTGTATACTGGGATACCAGATGCACTTCCAGCAGGCCAGGTGGGCTGGGAGGGCAGGCGGGACCTGAGACCAAGGCATCGCCAGTCGGGCCTCCCAGCATGGGCTCCCTGCAAGCCCAAGCCCACGGGGGGAACGGGGGCAGGAAAGCCCCCTGGTTCACACTGCGCTCTCCAGGCCCTGTCCCCCTCCCATTGCACAATGCAACGGACTCTAGGAAATGACATTCAGCCCAACCAGAACAGCCACACAGGTCAGAATCAGCATGGAGGAGGACGCTAGAGACTGGGAGGTGGGGATGGTGTGAGACAGCAGTTCTCAAGGTGTCCCTGGACCAGCAGGATCCCCGGGGAGCCTCTTAGAAATGGAAATTCTTAGGCTCCAGGCCAGATCTGCTGTACCAGAAACACCAGGGCTGGGCCCAGCAATCAGGGTGGTAACAAAGCCTCCAGGGCATTCCGATGTATGCTCAGGCTGAAAAATGCAGGTGTAAAAGAAGCCTTCCCACAGGGGGTATATCAGGATCGGCCTTTGAAGGATGAATAGGAGTTTGCTGCACAGAGGGTATAAGCATCCCGGGCAGAGAGCTCAGCATCCATGGAGTCCTCACCCCTTCCTGCTTCTTGGCTTTCTCCCCAAGGGTCTGCTCGCCATCCATGGCCCCGAGGCTCCCGACGCCTGGGCTTCCATCTCGTGCTTCTGGAGAAGGTGGGGGGAGAGCCCTCATCTGCCGCACTCCCTGTGCTGCTCCCCTCGGACAGCAGCAATGACGACGGGTATTTGGAGCAGGCTGGCGGGAGCGAGCTCAGATCCTAGCCACCCACTAGGGGATAGGCCTAAAGTGTCCTACGTTTTCCCTTCCCAGCTCCTTTCAAGACCGCAAAGTGCCCACCAGCCTGGAAGCTCCACGAGTCCAGGCCCCGCGCCTGTCTTGCTCACAGGTCTGTGCCCAGCATCGGGCTGGGAGCCTGGCACTGAGTGACAACTGCTGAATGTCTGAAGGCCTAGTCCCTTCTGGGGAACCAGGAATCAACTAGACTGCACCCTCACCATCCGCATCTTTGTGGAGCTGGAAATGGCTGTTCTTCCACGGAATTTGCCACTGGCTGAAGTCAAATCCCTAGCGAGTCTATGAGGTGCAGCACAGGTATGTGTCAAGTCACACTGCCCACACCCCCCGTGACCAGGCATCGCTGTGAACAAGGAAGAGGGGCCCATGGCTGCCGCAGAGGAGACTCAGCCATGAGACTTGGCCCAGGACTTGTGGTCCTCTGACAGGGAGGAGCCCCTGCCTGTGCTCCTCTCCTCTCTGCCCTCATCAGACCTTTGCAGCACCTGCAACCGCCTGCTGCATGCTCCATGGTCAAGGCCAGGGCCCAGCCGTCAGGGGCTCACTGTGTAGCCAACAGTGACAACGGCATCCCTGGCTGCGTCAGGACAGTTGTTCTCTGAGGGGGCCCACAAGCCCGCACCGTCTGATGGGTGCGCCCTGTCTGGCCTGCTGAGACGGTGGGCGGGCACTGCCGGCAGACGCAAGCCGGCACGGTGGTGAGACAGGGCCGGGGGGGAAAGGCCGTGGTAGTGCAATGGTCGGCGGGGCTTCGGGGTGGGCAGAGGGCCTCTCTCAACTGGCACCCAAGCGCCTCAGTGCCTGGGCACTGTGCAGAAGAGGCTGGGCTCCAGGCAGCTGCTGGAAGCGTGCTACGGGGGCTTCGCCTGCCCATGCTCTCTCTGGATTGGCCATCCGTGCCATCACCTGGGCTGTGGACAGAGTTCACAGGCAAGGCCCATGTGAACTAGACCACCCCGGTCAGTTTAAAGGTCAAAATAATTGCCCTGCGTCACATCAAGCTAAAAAGCCTCTGCATAGCAAAAAGGAAAACAAAAACAATCAACAAAGTGAGGCGACAACCCACAGAATGGGAGAAAATATTTGCAAACTACCCATCTGACTAGGGATTAATAACTAGAATATATAAGGAGCTCTAAGAATTCAATAGGAAAAAATAGAACTTTAATTGGATTATTACAATGGGCAAAGGATCTGAACAGACATTTTCCAGAAGAAGACATACTAATGGCCAACAGGTGTATGAAAAATGCTCAACATCACTAGTCATCAAAGAAAGGCAAATCAAAACTACAATGAGATGTCGTTTCACCCAGTTAAAATGGCTTTCCTCAAAAGCACAGGCAGTAATGGACGCTGGCGAGGATGTGGAGAAAGGGGAACCCGCGTCCACTGTTGGTGGGAATGTGAATTAGTGCAGCCAGTATGGAGAGTCCTCAAAGCACTGAAGATTCTACCATATGACCCAGCAACCCCACTGCTGGGCAAATATCCAAAGGATGGGATTTCAGTATAATGAAAAGATACTTGCACATGTTTATGGCAGCACTATGCACAACAGCCAAGATACGGAATCAGCCTAAGTGCCCATCAGCAGATGAATGGATAAAGAAACATGGTGTATACACACACTGGAATATTATACAGCCACAGAAAGAATGAAATCCTGCCGTTTGCAACATCATGGATGGAACTGGAGAACATTATGTTAAGTGAAATAAGCCAAGCACAGAAAGACAAATCTCACATGTTCTCACTCATATGTGGGAGCTAAATATTAAAAATACTGGATCTCATGGAGACAGAGAGTAGAATGCTGGTTGCCAGAGGATGGCAAGGGTAGTGGGGAGGGGAATAAGGTGGGCATGGTTAATGGGTGCAAAAACATAGTTGGATAGTGAGATAGAATGAACAATATTTGATAGCACAACAAGGTAG